ATATTCTTTCCCGATTGTTTCGTCAAGGATAAGTTTTTTCACCATGGCCATCAACGTCGACCTTCGCTCCACAAGGATCGGCTTTTTCCCATCCAACCAGCACTTGAATCAAGTCGAGCACTAGTCAACTGCAGATTCGAATCATGCATTTCCTCTCCAGCCGCTCTAATGAGCCGGTAAAGACATATTCTGACGCAGCAGACATTCCTATCCAGGAGAAAATATCTAAAAATGGTGTCCTTAAACGCGTCACCACTCTTTTCAACCATCGCAAAGGACATTCGAATGTCAGTCCTCATGCCACGGATGGCAATGCGCCAGTCGGATTCATTCGTGATACAGCCGCGGTATACCCCCGTTCATCCAGTGGTTCCTCCACTGGATCACCGGACGAGATTCGGAGACCCAGCGGTCTAGGACGCAGAGCCAGTTTAATGGAATCTTTGCAATTGCCAGTTGAGCCGGAGGCATCGAATGCAGATGGAGGTGAGCTAAGGAGGTCCGGGTCCTTGCCTGATTTATTGAATGTCGCTTTTACTCCTATGCAGATCTGCGGACACCCGCTAACCAGAGTCTTCCCTTGGAGTTGTTAGAGACGATCTTATCATTCTTGCCCAGATTTGATCTACCGCGTATTGCCCTTGTTTCAGCTCAATTTTGCGAGGCGACACGTAACGTGGTGTATCAAATACTTGACTTCCGAACGATATCAGAGTCACGAGTTGAAAAGCTTTGTATCATCCTTTCCACCAGTGTGTCTCTTGCTACAAGGGTCCGATCTCTCTCATGTCACTCCTGGCCAGCGACAATATCAAGTGAGGGCCACCTCACACCATCTCTTGATTTCACGAGCGCATTGCGCAACATGTCAAACTTGGAGTCTCTTACGATACGATCATTTGCTCCAGTACTATCGCAGTGGCCTCCTCTCCCCTTCCAATTGAAGACACTGGTCATCCTTGACGACGCAATCTTTTCGCAGCAAGTTACCGACCACCTACTCAGTTTCCTCAGAAATCAAACCTCTCTACAAAGTTTAGCGTTACCCAACGCCATCGAGCAACCGTGTTCGTCTGATGATTCCTCCCATCAAGGTCCAGTTGCATCCGGTCTTGCACATGAAACCATACTGCCGTCACTTTCGCAACTACACGCTCCTCCACAACTGATGACGAGAATCTGCTCCTTATTGGCACACCCGCTGCACACCGTCGTTTTGGATGTCACCACCACACTCTACACGGGGTTGCGGCCTGCAGCAGTCCTTCGTGCAATCCAAGGTGTCTCCGAATTGGATGTAGTTTTCACCTACGAAGTGGACAAAAGAACAATCGAGAAGTTTTTGGGTGCTGCCGGTGGAATACTGTCCGAGAGCGATGGTTGCAATAGTCGCGGTCTCACTGTTTTGGAAGTGGAGGTGCTTTGGATGGAAGATGACACCGCTGAAGTCAGTGATATTTCCAGAATTCAAATATCGTTGATTTTGACGTTTTGCATGCAGATACTCTACAGCATCATTGATTCGATCATCTCGCGTTATAATGGCTTGCACACGCTCAAGCTCACCACGCCATTTCGTTCCAGACACACACAAATATCGACACCCCCGTCGTCTGTCCCCTTTCCACTGCCCATCCCATCACCCATTCCTACAACTCCCTCAACTGGTCTCTCGTCGATGCTGATTACTTCACCTGTAGGTGGTACTGTATCGAACGAGTTTGTGAGCTCAGGCACCGAGAAGGCGCATGCCAAAGCGTGGACACAGGCATGCTCGACGCTGAGTGACATCCAGTTTCGCTTTCCAGATCCATCACTGGATGCAGACACTGCACTCTGTGGAGTCTGGTTTCGCAGGAAAAAGTGACCACAGATCACTTGTATCTATCCGACTTCAGGGGATAAGGGTCAGACACTAGGGCTGCGTACATCACGTTCAACTCGGTGCAACGTGAAAGTCAGCCGGGATATAAAAGTAACATAAGGTATGTATGGTGACATGTATGCACGTATTAAATGGTGGTTGGATATCAAATGACTAGCCAGTGCTTCTAGAGTCTGCTGTGCGAACCACAATCCTGCAAGTCATTAATCTGTGCGAAGGCGTTTCTTGGCGCTCCCGTTCGCATTACCATTGGTAGTGGCATCATTCACGGTCGAGAAATAGTCCAAGGATCCTTTGGGATCCGGCTTGATGGTTTTGGCACCCTCATTCCAGCCCAGAGGGCAAACCTCGCCGTGTTCCTCCTACGAAAGATACAGTGAACGATTACTGTACAAAGGGAAACTCCGTACCACAAACTGGAAGGCCTTGAGAAGACGGATAGTTTCGTCTACAGATCGGCCGACGGGCAGATCATTGACGGTGATTTGCCTGTATTAAAGCGTAGGTATTAACTTAGTCAAGAATAAACGCAAACCGACCTAACGATACCCTTGGGGTCAATGATGAACAAGCCGCGCAGCGCGATGCCTTCTTCCTCGATGAGGACTCCGTAGTCCTTGGATATATTCATATTCCTATCTGCAATCAAAGGAAGCTTGAGATCGGGTCCAATGCCACCCTGGTTCCTCGGTTGTTGCGCCCATGCGAAGTGGGAATACTGGGAGTCCGTGGAAACACCTGCGACGCCATCAGGATTCACCTCATAGAAGAATAAAAAATCTCGGACTGACCGAGAACGGTTGCGTTCAGCGCTTTGAATTGTGGAAGCGCATCATTGAAAGCCAAAATCTCAGTTGGACAAACGAATGTGAAATCCCTGTCAATGCGACAATAACCATAATGAGAATACGGCGCGTAGAGAGAAGAATCATCTTCACATTGGGTAAAAGAAAAGAACCACCCTGGCAAACAAAGTTGATGTTAGCCACGGCTCTCACGAAACGTCAGACGCGTACCATTGCCCCAAAAATTCAGACAGGGAGATGTCCTTGAATTCACCCTCTACCACTGCGGTAGCTGTGAAGGCTGGCGCGGGACGCTGAATGAAGACGGTCATAGCTCAGCCGTTGGAGGTAGGAATGAGGCGATATTGCAATTTTTAGAGTGAAACGACGCGTTATGTATGTGTGTTTGGTGGTCCATGGACCACTCGACTATTTAAACTTCTTGAACTTCTATCAGCACAACTAATAAGATTCAATATTCTACAGTCGAACAGTGTGACACCGCAGTCCGACTCTAGCCATAACACGCATATCATCCGACTGTCGGATAACGTGAAGGGTTCTGTATCTCTCAGTCGAGTAAACTCTCCGGGTTGCACAAAATGACATGTGAGAGAGAACTTCGAATGTATTTACAAATAGAAAAATTTATCTACGGCCATCTAGGAGCTTTGAAACTCCCTGAACCGATTCATAGAGTCTTGTACACCTGCACACTGAGGGCTGCTAGCTTGTATCGAGTAAGCGTCTGGTATCAGTTCCTCAAGATGCTGGCGCAAAATTGAGATTTTGAAGCTGAAAGTAGAGATACCGCAACTAACCTTGATTCTCCGCTCTGCACCTGGATGCGTACGCAAGAATTCCAAGCTTGTCCCTCCGTGCGCTTGTTCATATTTTGCAAGCCGTGCGTGCATTCTACAAATGTTACGTACATAAACTAAACAACAGATAAACCAAATCACTCACGCGACGGCAGCTTGAGGGTCAAAACATGCCTTTGCAGTGAGCCGCATGCCGATAGTATCAGCTAAATTCCCGACGTCAGTATTTCCATGCCTCACACTACTGGAGAAACACACCCTCGTATTCCTGAGTGCGCGAATTGGGTAGCTCCAGAAGCAATGTGCTTATGAGATTGGTGATTCCGAAATCGAAGCCGAAAACCGTTTGCAGAAGAAATGCGACTGCCAAAAACACCTTAGAGGATGAATAGCGTTCCGAAGCATGACGAGCAACTGGAGATGGCGTGTTTAGAAAGCGCATGGATTTTGTATCATCCCGTCGTACCCACGTGAGCTATCTCTGCAGAATAATCTGAGTTGTGCAGGTTATCCCTTACAGAGTGACGTACCATGTCCAAGGACAGCGGCCAAACCCTCTTCGTCCTTGCATATAGGCAAAATTCCAGTAAACACCACGATATTTCCTGTTGTCAAAATATATGTAAGGTCTCAGTTGCAATGTACAAAAACGACTCGAGAGCGAACCAAAAGTGGCCATTGCATTCACAACAGAAGGATCATTCACAACAAGCAAATTCCACTCTTTGCCTCCGCTTTCTGGGGTAGAAGACTCCCCAGACGGTCGTCCAGTTGTAAATGGATCTTCGCTCCAAAAGTCATCTATTGCTTGCGCTAGAGACCGACGAGGCTCGCTGGAACGCAGGTGACCGAGATCCGATGATTCAAGGATATTAGTAACAACACGTTGGACGTGTCGGGTGACTGGATGATTGGAGGGTAGTATCTTGTCTCGGAATTCAGCCAAAAGCTCGTTATATGCTGCCTGTGCAAGCTGAAAGTAGAAGTTTGAGGGAGTTGTTGTAAACGAGAAACTTACACTCACCGTTGTCTCGTACTTGGGACTTATGTCCATGAATCGCCACCTACCAGTTTCAGGGACTTGCTCCAAACTTGACAACTAAAAGTGAGATACGGCATCCCGGGGTGCGTTCTGAACATACTGCACGACATAATATGTTCCTCCGACTGCAGCAAGTGCAATAACAATCTTCATCCGCGTGTCTGTCACCCCTCTCGGTGAGTGGCGATGTTGTTCAGACGGAAAGCGTGTATACTGAGCATGCTGAGGAGACGTCGTTGAAAGTCGGCATATACCGGATGTCGGTGGTCGTAGTCGTAGGCTGCTCCGAGCAAGGAGTGACAGTCCCCGCGTAGCATGTGATGCCCGTAGAATAGGCGCTGTGGTTGCCCACATGCGAGCAGGGAACATCATGGGTAGCGGGGTGAATGTTTCGTCCTAAGCGGCCCTCTGATGCTGCTAGAGAGGGGCATGGAGCTTGTATTATTTACAACCTTCCATATATGTAATCGGATATGGTGTAATGGTTAACATTACCGCCTCTCACGCGGTAGCTCGGGGTTCGATTCCCCGTATCCGAATTTTTTTCTTCATTGAGCTCTGCACTGCCAACCTCGACAAGCTGTCCACTTGCCAACCAACTCGTCGCTTGGCCGCTCGCTATCCTTTCAATGCGCCAGTGCGCCATCCCCGATAACTGCCTGTTCCCCACAGCTAAGTCCATATGTATATTTCTTGGACAAGCTCAGTTCAAGTTGTAGGACATAATTCAATAGGGAATTGAAGTAGAAGCACGACTTAGATAGACAAATACCTGGAGGAACAACCGTACAGCGGACTCAGAGCACGATTATCCTCTTCCGACTCCCCAGCGTTGCTTTAGAGGAGATGAACCGTGTAAAAACACGAGCAAGTTCGTCATTACTTGCCACATGATGCAGGGCACTATGGCATGGCCTAAAAGGTGGGGCAAGACTGAAACTAGGACCCATATTGGACAAACCTACATAGCCATGCGACGGAGCCTACCATCGTTTCTGAATAAATTTTCTTCTTGAGCATCTTGGCATGCGTGGATTGAGGGATGAGATGGTGATACGTCAGTGGCACCTCGCGTTCGCAAATCTCGCATTCCTTCGTGCGAGTAGAAGACCAAGTAGGAGGGGGTGCGCAAGCTTCGCTGATAAAATCGCTCAGGATATTGCGGATGAATCTTTGAGATGAACCCAGATCAGTAGTCAGGCCATAGGCCGCAAGTGTGCCATTCACTGTGCCCGGAAGGGCATCAAGCGGTTCAACTGCTCATGGGTCGCCTCGTGCAATGAAAGCGGAAGCGCTCATCAGGTCTGGGCAGCGAGATATGAAGTGAACTTATCGAAATCAGAGTTACCATCGTCGTCTGTGCTCGAACTTCGTGATGGTGATCTGCTTTGAGCAATTATTCGACGTGCAAAGCAATCTTGGAAGGTAGAAAATTGCGGGATATCTAGGGTATCACTCTCGTCGTTGATGGTCATGTGAGTGAAATTTGAATAGTAATGAATGAACCCGTGAAACTATGAGGGGATAAGATTAGATTGCCTAATCTCATGCACATGCATATGTATGCACAGGTACATTGACCAGGCACCAACACATTCAACCGTCCACCCCAAGGTTCCTTCTCCTCACCGTCGAAGACGGCGTCCGACAACAGCTCGTCGACGTATTACGCGTCCCTTAGTGACGCCTGTATACCATACCAACTATATACCTGTATGTAAATCTGACTTCACATGGCACCTCCCAAACGACGGGTATCGTATGTGATACCTCCACCCACGGATGATGTTCCACGACTTAGGCTCCCTCCCTTCGGTGTTGTTCGCAATGGCTCCATACGCCCGCTCATTGTACCCTCTAAATCACCGCCGACCGAATCCAAGAGCATTTCGGAGCATTCTCATCCCAGGCATCGGCTAGGCGCCATGTCCCTTGCGCTCGACACAACCACGCGTCTCGAAGGTCGGAATACCCCGGAAGGCATCCTCTATACTGGTGGAAGGGATGGACTCGTCATATCATGGGATTTGGGACTTCCGTTCAGGCGGAGACATGATGGTAGACGTCGCCGAGACCGGTCAGATAGGTGGGAAATATTGACGGGAATGAGCGATGAATCCCTTGCTGAAGAGGATGAGGAGGATGAACGAAGAGACGGCGACGTACTAGGAGATGTAAAAGAAGGTGGAGGACGAAGACGAAGAGGCAGTACAGCTGACCAGTTGCCGTATGAACTCCAGTGGCAGTTAGACGTTGATGCCTTGACTTCAGGATCGGTGAGATACGCTACTTGTCACGTTGCGTGCAACTGGAATCATCCCTTGCAGCCTTCTAGTTCCCGTCAGTGTGCCCAGACCCATACAGACTGGGTGAACGATCTCCTGCTCTGCAATTATAACCAGACAGGTAAGGGCATGGAATGTGGCGGAGTGTCACGGGCTGACCACAAGCAGTTGTTTCTGCTTCATCTGATGGAACCATCAAGGCCTGGCATCCTCATGCTATTTCTCCAAGCGACCCTTCTTCAGTTGGATCTCACGCAGATTATGCACGTTGTCTTTCACTTTGGTATGCATTCATCTAATGGGATGGTTCATTCTGACATGTATTCAGTCGCGAGCAGAATTGGATAGCTTCTGGCTCATTTGACCGGACCATTAAACTCTGGGATATCACCCGAGCATCGACAACGCCGGAACCATTCCTTACTCTCAATCCACCTGATGCTACCGCGCCTAAAGCCTCTGTCTATGCGATAGCATCGGATCCGTACGGACACGCAATTGCAAGTGGATCTCCAGAACGTGTCATTAGGATGTGGGATCCGCGCTCGGGAAAGCGGACAGGGAAGCTCGTTGGTCACACAGACAATATCAGAGCCATTCTGATTTCGGACGATGCCCGATACGTAAGCTAGCAACGCTTCACAGTGATCTATCTAATTATTGAGTTTGTTCAGCTCCTCACAGGTTCTGCAGACGGTATGCAAATCACTACAATTCTCCGGATCTTTTATTGAATATTTTTATTATTAGCATCCATCAAACTCTGGTCATTATCATCCCAGCGATGTTTGCATACGTTTGCATACCATACAGATTCTGTTTGGTCTCTACAATCAACCCATCCCTCACTCGAGGTGTTTTACTCTGGCGATAAATCGGGTATTGTGTGTAAAATAGACGTGGAGGGCTGTGCAGACGTCGGTGACGGTACCTGTATCGTCGTCGCGCGGGAATCTTCAGTCGAAGTCGGTGAAGGTATCAATAAAATTGTGACCGCAGATGACGGCCTCCTATGGACTGCCTCTGGTAACTCAAACATCAGTCGCTGGAGGCTTCCAAAACGAGTACCAAAACGAGTCTTAGATGAAGAGAGAGAATTTATTACTGATTCCTCTGCTACTACCCTCTCGAGGAGGCGCATCTCTCTTGGGCCTGATTCCATGCAGTGGTCTGCGTCACCTTCAATACATCAAGGTGTGGTTGTATTTTCATTTTTGAAGTATCGATACTAAGATATCGACTAGTTCGCAGGGAAGACGGGATAGGAGCATACCCCGGTGTCCCGCTTACATCTTTTGTACGCCTTACCTCACCCGATAGCCCTTTCTCCCTTTCTTCATTCCCTCCGCGTGGTCGCGATCCCGAGGTTGCAACATTATACTCTGCTGCCTCTATCGTCTCTGTTCCTGGAGGACGTTCCCCACTCCATACTGCCTTCCACCACTCCACCACCCTCATGCCCCCCAATACCCTGAGGAGTATGAGGAGTGACCTTTCGATCTCGCACACCGAGGCTGATCCGCCGCAGGACCTTCGAACCGCACATGAAACTCGGGAATACGCTGCCGATGCTGATCCTCTGAATGTCAATCCAGATGCAGTGATAGCAGGCTCTCATGGCCTCGTGCGAGGTATCCTGCTGAACGATCGCATGCATGCTCTAACGGTGGATACGAAGGGCGAGGTTGCTGTCTGGGATATCACGCGAGGACTCTGCAAAGGTTGGTTTACCAGTGAGGAGGTGCGTGCCGCAAGTAGATGCGGCAGTACTTCCGGCAGTGGGCACCACCCTCGTGACAATGGGAGTGTGACAAGAGGAGACAAGGAGCGGAGTCCTCGTGAAGCGCTTGAAGCAGTCCGAGAACGCATTGAGGGCGAAGCCGTCATTTCACCTTGGTCATCTGTAGACACCAAGACTGGTGTCCTCACTGTTCATATCAACGAACGCTGTTTCGATGCAGAGATATATGCAGACGAAGCTGGTTTCGGTCCTGATAGGCATTTTAACGATGAACTCCGATGTAAGGACACCCCGTTCCCTCCTTTTGTTTTCTGATCCAAATGTGCGCTCCAGTCAATATTGGTAGATGGGTCCTGCGGAATCTATTTCTCGGCTTCATTCGTGAGGAGCAGCGTATCCACCGCAAACGTGACGCCCATGGTTCCGAGACTAGTCATTCAGCTCTGCATCGCATCACGACTACTCCGGCGCAACTTGAATTGAATGGGAACGCGTCTAGTTCAACACTCCCGCGTTCTTCCGAGTCTTCGACGAGGCCATCGCGAACTTCTGCTAGTACTGCAGTCGTCACGTCACCCAGTTGTTTGCCTGCTGTCCTCCCTTCACTTCCTTCTTTGACACGACCCACCCCTCTCCTTACCCCATTGATACCGCTCGTTGCGCTAAAATCTGCTCCACCTAGCATACCTCAATCCCCAAACGATGCCACTCCGGTTCCGCGACAAATCCGCACGCATGGACTTGATGCGGTGAGTTCGCCCTCCAGCGCATCTCGGGAGGTAGACTACTTCTCTACCCTCGCTCGTCGCCCATCTACAGCAAGTACTGCGCTGTCAGATGGTGGTGATTTCTCTGCATGGAGTGGCCCTTCGAGTGCTCTGGCAACACCGACGCCCAGCACACCCAGTGGCGGGTTCATGGGTCGTCTGAAGAGTTTTGGTAAAGGCGCTGCGAGAAAGACTACCAGCGACATGGTGCCGGGCTCGCCTATATCTAGCCCTTCTGGCAATCCAGCTGATACACCCACTGTTCCAGAGGTGAATTTGATGAATAGAGATAATGTTGCGTCTGTCTGACTGTCGCTACTTTTTCTAGACACCAGTAGACGCCAATGAAAAATCGCCTGTACAAGCGCTTCTAGAGAACCCTATTTCACCTCCAACGTCCAGCGATGCTCCCACTCTGACGTTGCCTCCGGCAATGACAGTCATGATATCCGACGAAGTATACCCAGGGTGGAGAACAGTCTATAGGGGCAGCGTGTCGACTACATGGGCCGACGTGTACAAATTGGAGTCGATAATGCCTCTATGGCTGGGTGAATACCTGTTATTCAACAAAATCACTGGTCCGCCGGCTGTGAAGGTTTCTTTTGTATTGTTGCCTTGGGCGGGCGCAGACTCGGGATATGAGGCACTGCCTGAGTTGCTCAACTCGTTAGTAGATTTTGTTGAAACCACTCGCCGCATATTCTAACAGAACACGTTTTTCAATCAAGGTCGCAGTCTAAATT